ATATATATATTCAATGCAATACCCATCAAAATCCCAGCACAATTCTTCACAGACTTTAAAAGAACACTACTCAACTTTATACAGAAAAACAAAAAATCCAGGATAGCCAAAACAACCCTGCACCACAAAGAAACTTCGGGTAGGGCCTGCCTCTTTGTAGTATGCAGGACCACTATTCCAAGATTACATTACCCAGCATGAGCTGGACCTACCTATATTAACTATTAAGTAAGAACATTTATGCTGGATGTTGTCACATATGACTTCGATTGCAGCACATGGAAGCATTAGCAGGTAAATCTATGTGAGTTTGAGGCCAGTGTGGTTTAAATAGTGAGTTCTAGGACAGTCATAGTTACATAGGGAAACCCTCTCTCAAAAACAAAAACAACAACAAAAGAAAAGAAAAGAAGGAAGTAATGGAGAGAAGGAAAGAGGGAGAGAAAAGAGAGAAAGAAAGGAATGAAAGGAGGAAGAAAGAGAGATAGAGAGGGAGAGAGACACACACATACACACAGAGACAGACAGAGAAAGAAAAAGAAAGAAAGAAAGAATGTAGTATAGACTACCCTTCTGGCCAATCTTATGGAGTCATTTGCTCAATTGTGGTTTCCTCTTTTCAAATGGTTCTAGCTTGTGTCTAGTTGACACAAAACTAATCAGTGTACACCCACTCACACTAGAGCTGGCCTAGCATTTCCCTGTCTTTTTGAGTCTTGTTTCTCAACACGACTCAAAATGTTTGGCTGCTGGGAATAATTAGTGGTCATTTAGTCTTTGGAATGGAATTCCCATGCTTAGACCTTAACACACGTAACTACTACACACACCTGCTGTGGGTCACACACAGCTGGAATCATCCAGGAACCTGATTTGAGAGCAGTCCTTTTCTGGTAGAAATGAAGGAAGCATAAGTAAGTGCACAATGCATGCCACAACCTTGTCCATTTTCGTGTGATGGCACTGTAGTGGCCCCCCATGAATTGTCTCTCTGTTGCCCTTTGCCTCATGTGTTTGCCAGTGTTTTCCTCATATAACTTTGATTATTAGCAGCTTTCCACAGCATGTCACTATCCTATGAAGGTGCAGGATTTGAGCTCTTACACCCACACACATTAAATGCAGAGTTCCATGAGAATCTATGTGTAGTGTGCCATCTGTTACATAGGAACACCTAGCTATACACAGGTAGACACATATACCAGCTCATAGATATGCATGCGTGAGCACGCGCGCGCGCGCACACACACACACACACACACACATGCACAGAGAATGTGCACACAACTGTCACAGCTTTACTTTGTATCCAAGATGAAAAGGTCACCTGACAGTTGCTTTGCAACTAAAGAGAGAGTCACAGTGTCCCTCTTAGACACTTGAAGGTGTTTTAGCCCTGAATTAAGTACATTTGGTTTTTCTGAGACATTGACACCTACAGTTCACTCATGCTTCACTTTTCCCACTGTTCCATGGACCTTCCACCCTGGTGCTCCGTGAAAAACTCTTCACTTGTTTCCTGCCAATGAGACAAAAATAGATGGTGTTCTTTCTCCCCCTTTCACTCAACATAGTATCTTCATGGTCTTCATGGTGTATTTGTGACATGGTGCATTATCATTGAATCATGGCTTCAGTTATCTGGAAGTCGGACACTGTACTCATTTTTCAGTTTCTAGAGCTACATTTTGACTTCTACAAAGAAACCAAGGAAGAGCTGTGGTTAGTTCTCAGACAGGAATCCATCAATTACGTTACAGTCTGTGTATGGGAGAAGACAGGATCACTGTGAACCTTCAGACACCAGAAATAGAACCCACAGTCCATGGTACCAACCTCCCACTATGTGCACTCACCCATCCCTTCAAATCTAGAATAAACTTTAACCACAGAGAGCTGAAAAACTCACAGTTTGCATTACGTTAGTGATCTGTCCTTCATATCTGGTAACATGTGCTTGAGCAATGCAGGATCCCCTACTGTAAACAGAACCCAAACCATCTCATGTGGAGAGACAGACTTCACCAGGAGCAGAGCATGTCAGCAGCTCACAGCTTTCTCTCCAACATGGCAGCAAAAGACTTTCTGCATGATGATTAATGTGGAAATGCAGAAATAGGTTAAATACGGTTCTACCATAAGGCACTGGGAGTGTTTTACACAGCAAGGCAGGAGTATCCACTACAGAGTGATGGGTTGGGGCCAGTGGTCCATGTGCTCACTTTCAGACTGAGATCACAGTGCACGTGTGTGAAACCTCTGCAGTAGGACACAGAGGCAAGAAAAAAGCCACCAGGTGCACACTGGTCAGTAGAAACCACCAAAGTTTAGAAATAATCAAACAGAAACAAAAGAATCTAGTGCGACAATAGAAAAAGAATTAGAAAGAGAAGGTATTAACTCATGTTCTCTCATAAGAGGAGGGCAATAGGGAGGGATAACTAATACTAGGGATCTTTCAAAAAGGCACAGACAATCTATTAGTATAGAAGTTCTAAATGTAAAAATGGGAACAAATGGAGAGACTCTACAAAGAAGGGGCAGTGTTTCTCCCAGAAACCATAGAACACCAAATAAAAAATCTCAGTGTGGAACCTGTTTAGAGTTGTTGGTCTGGAATCCCATAGACCCCTAAACATTACAGGTTGCTGAAGGCACCACACAGCTGAGTCATAGAACATGGTGAAATCAAGCTGGCAATGACCCTGAAGTCTCCTCCCTCCTGGTTGGCTGTCTTAGACATGTAAGTCTCAATGCATACTGTTGTAGAACAGTAACCAGTAGTATCACCCAGCTGTGAATCCTGCAAATTACACTAATGAATGCTACACCAAGATGTACCAACTGGTGCAGCAAACATTATGGGAGTAACCTTAGTGATATTGTGTTTATGATACAATAAATAAAGCTTACCTGAAGATCAGAGTGAAAAGCTAGGCACACTAGTTAGCTATAGTGCCAGGCAGTGGTCCCACACATCCTTAATCCCAGCAGCCACACTAGGTAACCATAGAGGCTGGGCAGAGGTGGTGCAGGCCTTTAATCCCAGATCTTGGGAGGCAGAGGCAGATGGATCTCTGTGAACTCAAGGCCACCCTGGGCTACACGAGATTGATTCGGCCTAAAAGAGAAACAGAGATCACACCTTTGATTCCAGCACTTGGGATCAAATGCCTTTAATCCCAGCACTAGGGAGGTGGAGACAGAAGTGCTATGACTTCATTGAGTGAGGAACTTTAGGTGGGAGGAGACAGGAGTTCGGGGCAGCCTGAGGCAGTCAGTCTGGCAGTCAGTCTGAGACAGCAGTCTGAGCAGTATACAGTCTAGGCAGTCAGTCTAAGGATGCAGTCTGAGAAAGCAGTCTGAGGGCAGGATTGAAGTTTTTGGTTTGAGCCTTGGTAGAAGCAAGAAATGCCTAGTGGTTGGCTGCATTGCTTCTCTGATCCTTCAGCTTTCACCCCCTGATATCTGTCTCCAGGTTTTTATTATTATGAACAATTAAGTTGTACTATAGTAACCAGTAACTTTCTGATTAGTTTTAAAGCTTGTGTCACAAGAGCAGACTCATGTCTAATACTGTTAACTGGGCTAAAAACCTATAACTGGTTAGGACATAGACCCTTTTGGGAGAGCCTAATGCTATTATTCTGTTAACTGGACATAGTATTAAGTTGCTGCTAAGTTTTCATGTTTGTACTCATAGATTAATACACCTCCCCTCTTATCAGAGAGGTTTGTTTTACAGTAGTTGTTGATTCATAGAAACAATAACATTCAGAGATTAAGAAATTGTGAAATGCTCAGGTCTAAATGGTAATTCTACAGCACACACCATTCCCCATGGCTGAGAGATATCGCAGAAGAGTGGGGAGAGTCATTGTAAGAGCTGGAGGCAGTGAACATCTGACAGTATTTGCTGGACATGGTATGAATGTTGCAAACATGAAGTCTTATTGAGGGCAAGGAGCACATGGGATGGTGAGCAGAAGGCCTGCAGGGAGGGCAAGCAGCAGGGAAGGAAGACACATGGGATCTCTTTCCATTTTCTTGTGCACTCATAAAAGTTGTCAAGATTCTGGATAATGTTAGGATTCTGAAAGCTGTTAGGCAGGTTTTTAGATCGATTATGTAGTGGATATAGAGGCCAAGCCTGGATACTGTAGTGAAATTTGATGTCTGAGTATTGTAGCCACTGGAGTTCTGGAGGAGACATCCAAAGGGTGAGTCAGTCAGAATGGAGGGGGGCAGAAACCATCACTCTTGATGGCAGTGGGTCAAAGTTGAGAGACCAGGTGTCTGTGTGTGTATTGAGAGGCCAATCTGAGGGTGAAAGGTGGAGAGACCAGGTGTCCATGTGATATATCAAGATAATCTCTCATAGGGTTCTCAGCCCATCTCACATTCTGTCTTACTATCAGAAAATCCACAATAGACATGAATGGTCAACAGGGAAGTGGTACAAAGCAGTTATCAACATCTTCCCCTCCTGGCCAATTTCAAATGTGTGCAGTACCAACTATGCCCCTGGGAGAGGCAGAAAATCATTGAAGCAGGTTTTTTTGGTTTTGGTTTTGGTTTTTTCAAAGAGTGAAATTACAAGGAGAGACTGTTTATAATCAGATTTTCAGTTATCAATCAAATAGTGTGAATTTCCAATTCACTCACATTGGCTAGGGAAGGATATGAAATAGATGTCTTTATTTATGTGGACCAAGAGGATCTACAGATGTGATGAGTCTTCTTAACCAAGCTCCTCCTGGACGGAGCTTGGCTAATGATCACAGTCCTCACCTGTTGTGTGGCTCCTTCCTCTTAGAGAGGTGTGCTTGTCTACACAGTGTTGGGCACCTGATGTCCCTGTATCAAGACCCCTCAAATTAATGTGTCAAAGCAGACCTGACTGTGAGAATGCAGAAGTGTGTGAAGACTTTCACAGGGGTAAAAGACCCAGGATTCATTTGACTACAAAATCACAAATCAAGTCCTTATTATCATGGGTGTTTTTCACATATGAGTTTATTGGAAGTGAGGTTTCCTCATGCATTTGCACAATGTTGGTGACTCTACTTATCCTACTGCTATAGCACACTTGAGCTCTTGCCACAATAATCTTCAGGCTCAGGACGAGGAAAAGGATGAACTCTCTGGCTCTCCACAGACAAGGTTTTTTACTCGGGAGTAGGTTAGGAGTCAGTGTCCAAAGCAAGGCCAGACATAAACACCGATTGGAGTTTGTGTCTCATTTCCCATCATTCCCAGTAGTCAGGGGTCTTTTCCAAAAGATCTTCCCTATTAAGAAGTGTTATGGCATCATTTGCTGCAGTTTCAAGAAAGAGATTCTGCAGATAGTAAGTCTTTCTGTAGTAAATACAACTGGTCCACCAGTAACTGAGGAAATGTGCTGGATATATTTCCATAGTTTGTCTTCCAAGGGCACATTGCTGTCTTCCTCAAACAAATGGGGAAACCGAAGGTAGTCCTTGAGTTCATCCATGGACATGTTAAAATCTTGAGCAATGTTTTCCAATGAGGCATCATCCAGCCCAAAGTAAGACCTATAGTGATTGAATGTTTCATTCAGATCCTCTAAATCATCCCTTATCATGCCAACCAATGGAATGGTGGTCAATGCTCCAGCCTTCAGGGCCTCTAGGAAGACTTTCTGCTTCAGGGAATCTCTCTTAAGGTTAATGGTGGTCTCAGTGACACTGTTTAAGGACAGTGTGAAGACATGTCGCTGTGGGCTGGCAGATCTATTAGCAGTTTTGTTTGCAGGTTTGAAAAATAGAAAAACTTATGAACAGATCACATATGATCTGTGGAACACCATGAAATATATTGGGTTAGAAGGAGAAGAACTCCATTCCAACAGCATAGAAAACATTCTCAAACAGTCACAGCAAAAATGCCCACAAATTTAGAGGCAGAAAAGCACATCCATGTAGATACAAGAGGCTTGGAGAACACCAAATACATGGGGCTGAAAAGGGAACTCGTAGAGTCATATTATAACTAAAACCCTGCAAATATGCAGTGCCAAGTGTTCAGCAAACTGCAAGAGAGAAGCATCAAGAACTATAAAAGTGGCCATCAGAGTAGCAACTGACTGAGAGTGGCAGAATCTCTGAAAGCCTCAGTGCTCAACCTGATCTGCCTAAGTAAGACTGTGGTTGTTTCTGATCTAGGCTTTTATCTCCATGGGCAAATGAGGAGCTTACAGGATAGACTCCAAGAACATCTGGATCACCATCCTTCTGTCTGTCTCCAAGCCTGACTGCTTCAGAAGACTCGCACAGCCCTCAGCTGTGGAAGGAAGGGCTGTTGTTTCTCTGCTTTGGGATGCTCTGTGTCACAGAAGATGGCCATAGAAGGAGGCTACCGTGAATGCTCCCTGAGTAAAACTCCCCAATCTCTCCTGTCCCAGTCAGTGCTCCACTCTCAGTGGTATCACCCATGTAGGGTTATTGGTCAAGCTGAACTTAGAAACTCTTCACTTACCTCAGCAGTGGCGAGCTTGATCTGAGAATGTTCTCGTCTTAGGAAAGCTCTTTGCACTATAGTGAAGAGAGTGACTGTGGAATGATCTAAACCTGGAGCTCACACTCAGGATGTTCAGGAAGAAAACAGGTGAGGTGTGCAGTGCTGAGGTTCTCAGAAGAACTGCATAAAGAAAGGAGGAGCACTAGGGATGGACAGCCTGATCCCAGTTACTTTATCCTTCCTGTTCTACACTTTTCTGGCTGGATCTGAGCTCTAATTATGCTAACTCTCCATGGAAGGGCTGCTGTCAGAATTGGTTTCAGTTTCTATTCCTAGAAATGTCTGCTTTGCATGAAACAGCAGGGAGATCCTTTAGACAAGGTCACAGATGGGTCAAGCTATTTGAGGCTGCTCTTACTAAGTCTCTGGAGTGACCATCATAGCACAATTCATTGTAGAAACTCCGGGTCTGACCTGATGTTCTCCCTTACCCAATGGAGACTGCTAACTCAGGTGATAGCAACTAGCCCTATGCAAGATATCCTTCTGTTGTGGTTTCTGGGTCATTTAGAGATTTAACAGTCTGTCTTAATTTTTAGTTTTAATAAACTAGATAGTTCTAATTAAAAAGACACCAGCCAGAAACAAACCAGAGAGAGTGCTCTACGTAAGGCCCTGGCTATTGTTAGACAAAGGACTATAAAGGGAAAAAAACCCACAAAATTCTAATTTTGGGAAGCCAGATTAGCAAAGGAATCAAGACCCTGTTGGTGAAACCCACAGAGGCAGCTGACCTAAACAAGGGGGAACTCATGGACCCCAGACTGATGACTGAGACACCAGCATGGGACTGATCCAGACACCATGACCAAAAGCATCCTGGGGAAGAAAGGGTTTATTTCAGTTTATATTGAGTGCCACATTATTGAGAGAAGCCAGTTCCTCAAGGCAGAAACCCGGTGGCAGGAACTGAAGCAGAAGCCATCAAGGAGTGCTACCTACTGGCTAGTTCTCTCCTGGGTTTCTTGGCCTATCTTTTTATAGCACCTTGGACTACCAGTCTAGGAGTGGTCCACCATGAGCTGGACCATCTGTATAAATCATTAAATAAGAAAATGCATGCCAGGTGTTATGGTGCACGCCTTTAATCCCAGCACTTGGGAGGCAGAGGCAGGTGGATCTCTCTGAGTTTGAAGCCAGTCTGGTCTACACAGTGAGTTCTAGGACAGTCAGAGCTGTGTAGAAAAACACTCTCTCAGTAACAAATCAACAAACAAAAAGAAAAAGGAAGAAAAGAGTTCACTGTACTACTAGCCAGTCTTATGGAGGCATTGGTTCAAGTGTGGGTCCCTCCTTTCAAATAGTTCTAACTTGTGTCAAGTTGTCACAAAACTAGTCAGGGTACACCCACTCACACTAGAGCTGGCCTCAGAATTTTCCTGTCTTTTGGGTCTTGTTTTTTGAAAACTGGCTGTTGGGAATAATTAGTGATCATTTAATGTTTGGAATGAGAATTCCCATGCTTAAACCTTGACACACGTATGTAGGTGCCACACACACCTGCTTTGGGTCACACACAGCTGGAACCATCCAGGACCCTGCTTTAAAAGCAGTCCTTTTCTGGTAAATCGCCAATTGATAGTGGAAATAAAGGGAACATAGGTAAGTGCAGAATGCACAGCACAAGTCTGTTTTCCTGTGATGTCACTGCAATGTCCCCACGTGGATGGTCTCTCTGTTGCCCTTTCCCCTATGTGTTTGCCAATGTTTTCCTCATATACCTTTGATTATTAACAACTTTCCACAGCACGTCTCTATCCTATGAAAGTGCTGGATTTGTGCTCTCACACCCACATATGTTAAATACAGACTTTTAAGAGCAACTATGTGTACTTTGTCATCTGATGCAAATGAACACATACCAATACACAGGTAGACACATATACCAGCTCTCACACACACACACAAACACACACACACACACACACGCACGCACGCACGCACACACACACAGGCAGAGAATGTGCACACAAATTCACCTTCACAGCTTTGCATTGGATCCAAGATGAAAAGGTCACCTATTACTTGCTTTGTAACTGAAGAGAGTACCATAGTGTCCCTCTTAGACACTTGTAGCTGTCTTAGCTCTGAATTAAGCAAGTTTAACACCTACAGTTCACTCATGTGTTACTTCTCCCACTGTTCCATGAACTCTCCACCCAGGTGCTCTGAAAAACACTCTTCACTTATATTGTAGAGACAAAGATAGATGGTGTCCTTTCTCTCCTTTTCATACCATAGAGTATCTTCATGGTGAATTTGTGACAGATTGCCATATAATTGAGTCGTGGCTCCAGTTATCTGGAACCTTGGCACTATACCCACATTTTCAATTTCTAGAACTATCTTTTGACTCCAACAAGGAAACCAAGGAAGAGCTGTGGTTAGTTCTCAGACAGGAATACACTAATTACATTACAGTCTGTGTGTGGGAGGAGAGCCTTCAGATAATCAGAAATAGAACCCACAGGCCATGGTACCAACCTCCTGCTGTCTGCACTCACCCAGCCATTCCAATCTAGAATAATCTGGAACTACAGGGGGCTGAAAAATGTAACAGTTTGAGTTAGTGGTCTGTCCTTCATATCTGGTAACATGTGCTTGAGCAATGTAGGAACACTTAATGTAAACAGAACCCAAACCATCTCATGTGGAGAGACAGACTTCACCAGGAGCAGAGCATGTCAGCTGCTCACAGCTTCCTCTCCCAACATGTCAGAAATGTCTTTTCTCCCTGATGATAGATGTTGAAAACACAGAAATGGATTAAATACTGAGCTAAGAACAGACACTGGGGTGTTTTACACACCAAAGCAGGAGTATATAGTACAGAGAGATGGATTGGGGACAGTGGTCTTTGTGCTCATTTTATTACTGAGGCCACAGTGCAGGATGTGTGAAGTCTCTGCAATAGGACACAGAAGCAAGAAAATGGCCACCAGGAGCAGACTGTTCAGTAAAAGCCACCACAATTTACTAATAATGGAATAGAAAGAAAATAATCTAGTGCCACATGTGAAAAAGAATTAGAAAGAGAAGAAGGTATTAACACATGTTTTCTCACAAGAGGAGGGAAAATAGGGAGGGATAACTAACACTAAGGATTTTGGAAGAAGCCACAGGAAACCTATTACTACAGAAGGTTCATAAAATATAAAAATGAGTTTAAATAGATTGACCCTACAATTGAGGGGGAAATGCTTCTATCAGACACCATAGGCTACCACATAATAAGTTCAGTGTGAAGTATAGGTTACCTCTCTTTGAATTGTTGGCCACTGGGATTCCATAGACATCTATTACCATTCCTTTTGCTTTCTCTCCAGAACTTGACATTACGATCCAATTGCTGAAGGCACCACACAACAGAGAAATCGAGCTGAAATCTTCATCCCTACTGGGTAGCTTTCATATAATACTATACGTTTCTATGCATGGTGCTAGAGAAGAAAAGTAATCAGCAATATAACACAGTTGTGAATTCTGCAAGCCACAATACTGAATGCTCTGCCAAGATATACCCACCGGTGCAACAGTGGCACAGATGTTATGGGACTAAACCAATAATTTTCTGACTAGTTTTAAAGCCTGTGCCACAAGATCAGACTCATGTCTGGTACTGTTAGTTGGGCTAAAAACCCATAATTGGCTATAACATAGGCCCTAGTGGAAGACTATAATTCTATTAGTCTACTAACTGGACACAGTAGTAAATTTGTCTTAAGTTTTCATCATTATACTCATAGATTAATGCATCTCTCCTTTCACAGTAGTTGGTGATTCATACAGACTAACAGCTTGTAAACATTCAGAGAATAAGAGACTGTGGAATGCTCAGGTCTAAATGGTAATTATATAGCACACCCCTCTCCCACAGCTCAGAGATATTGCAGAAGAGGGAAGGGGGAGATTGTAAGAGCTGAAGGTACTGAACATCTTCAGAGAAACACTATTTCTTGGACGTTATGGCAGTGTTGCACACATGAACTCACAGCAGCTGTGACAGTATCAACAGGAACTGCACAAAAATCAAGATTCTTCCAACCCTAGTATGTTTGGGAGAAGAGCTCATGAAGATCCACTCCTTTGTGAGGACCAATTAATAACAGGTGGCTTCTGGGGAAGGAAGAATCAGGTTTCTCAGGGATGTGTTCCCAGAGAGGCAATCCATGGTCCAGTAGATAGTCCTACACCCATGTGCATACAGGCAACACTAAGTGGACCCAGTGGACTTTTAAAACAGAGTACATTGTTAGTTATACTCTTTGAATCATGTAGAGGCACACCTTTAAATCTAGCATTCAGGAAACAGAGGCAGGTGATCTCTGAGTTTGACGCCAGCCTGTTCTACATAATGAATTCTAAGCCAAAAAGAATTATAAAGTGACATAACTCAAAAAGAAAAAAAAAAGAGTACATGTAGTTGGGATTGGGGAGGAACTGGAGAGGGCAACAATGGAGTGGACTTCATAAAAACAAATTGTATACATATATGAAATTTTCAAACAATAAGAAATTTAAAAATTAACCTCTGATGCTTTGATAGCTAAGCAAATTGAAGTGCCAAAGAAGCCAGCCCAAAACTAAGAAATGATGTAACAAAATTATGTTGATTTGGTTAGAACACATTGTATCTTTGTGCTGATATGTTATATTGTCCATATAACATAGACAAAATTACCTGTGAATCAAAATAATTTAAAACTGCTTAAGGATATGGAAGTTCTAACTACATAGATTTGATAATTACATGTTGTATATCTGTGGTAGTCAGTGTTAACTGTCAACTTGACAATATCTAGAAACATCCTGGAGATGGGCTTTCCAGGCATACATGTGGGGGATTATCTTGGCTGTTTCAACTGATGTAGGAAAACCTATCCTCACTTTGGGCCAGACTATTCTCTCAGCAGATTACCCAGGGATGGATAAAATGGAGAAAATGAGCTGGGCACCAGGAGGAATCCACTGCTCTCTTCCCTGATTGCGGTTGTGATATGGCCAGCTGCTTCAGCCAAGATGGACTATAAGTTGTTCCATCATTGAGGGTCAGGCTGTTCCATTTGTGTACCTAGGGACTTTCTCATGCTAGGTAGGTAGATGGAAGGAAATGCATCTTCCAGATGTGCTGCACAGTGTCTGTGCTTACAGGAAAACACAGAGCCACCCCAGCTGCCTGGTTGCAAGTCCTGACTTCAGCTACTTCCTCCCTCTTCTGTCTGATCTGGCTGTTCAGGACTTAAAGTTTGGCTCAAACTCCACCTGATGGCACCTCCATGCCAATCAGTCTTCACTGTTTCCCTTAGGCTGTTGACAAGGGCTTAGTTCCTCCAGGGCACTCAGAGTCCTACCTTCTCTTTCCTGTGTGGGAACACCAGACCTTGAGCAGAGACCCACTTCCCCTTCTGCCTGGGAGTAGGCAGCTGTAAGACAATGTTTAGTAAAAACATGTTTACTAAAAAAACGATACAATGCCCGGGGCAATAAGCAATCTCTGTAAAGTAGAGGAAATGGGAGGAAGTTAGGAGATAGGGCCTAGTGCAATCTGAAGGTGAGGTTAGTCTTTGGACAAGGTCGAGGTCAGGGCGGTTTCTGTGGGAAGGCCTTTTCCAGGAACTTATTGTATCATTTTTAGTAAACATGTTTTTACTAAACATTGTCTTACAGCTGCCTACTCCCAGGCAGAAGGGGAAGTGGGTCTCTGCTCAAGGTCTGGTGTTCCCACATTCCTGTGCCATTCTTCCTCAGAGGGCATTGACTCTTAGCTCCTTCAGAGCAGTCCCATATGGCGTTTGTGGCACTCATGCCAACAACTTTCTCAGAGCATTCTTTCTTATTCCAAACACACTGATTTTGAACCTTTTCTGGCTCTGGAAGCACTCATCCGGAGTTTTGAAATTCTTAAGGATAAAGCCTCTAAGGGTTGCTCCGAGTGCTGTTTGTTGTAGGTGGACTGCAGACACTCTGCAGTTTTTAACCAAAGACGAGCATCCGGGATATGCAGAATCAACCAGTCTTGTTTTGCACAGAAATGAACAGCATGGCAAAGACAGAGGTTTTGTCTTTAAGTATGTACATATGATTTATTACACTTGTTGAGTTAAGTATGTTAGAACATCTCTGCATCTCTGGGATAAAACTAAGTTTATCCTGGTAGATTATCTTTTTGAGATATACCTGTATTCATTTTTTATTATTTTTCTTTTTTTTAGACATAATTTCTTTATTGATTTTTTTTGGGGAATTTCACATCATGCACCCTAGTTCTGCCCACCTCCCAGTTCCCTGTCCCTCCCCTCCTCCTGCACCCCCCACACCTCCCAGTTCCCTCTCCCTCCCCTCCTCCCGCATCCCCCCACACCTCCCAGTTCCCTCTCCCTCCCCTCCTCCCACACCCCCCACCTCCCAGTTCCATGTCCCTCCCCTCCTCTGCATCCCCCCCACCTCCCAGTTCCCTCATATCCTCTGCTCACCCCTGCAGTGTCCCCCAACCAAGAAAGTTAAAAACAAAACAAATCAAGCGAGCAAACCAACAAGAACAAGAACAAAACAAAAGAAAAACTCCTTCTTTTCCACCTCGCCAACACCTCTTCATCATTTGTGCTGGTGGGTGGCACTGGAAGCTGTGTGTCACATAGCATCCTTTTGTCCATCAGCTGTACTAGCACATGTTCATTGCAATGAGTCACTGGTCTGGTTGAAGGCCTCTGGTTTCTGGTACGCCATCATTACTGGATCCTCACTGAATCTCCTGTGGCTGCCCCGAGTCATAGGTTACCATTCCACAGGACCATCCCTTCAGGAGCTCCAGCATGTCCTAGATGAGGTAGCTGCTAGCTGCAGGTAGAGCGGGGAGGGGGGCGGCGCGGCGCGGTGTCCAGCTGGTCTCTTCCCAGGGCTGAGCTGAATGGTGAGTGTCCTTGAAGAGTCAGATCTTCCCCCCATTAGTTACATGTGGGGGGGATGACACACACACTGAGTCCGGAGTCTATCGAGGCAGGATCTCGATTTATTCCAACAGGCAGGAATTTATATACAACTGAGGTAGGGGATGGGAATCTTAGGATGGGGTAAGATGATGTGAGGAGTTAAGGGCCAATAGGCAAGTAGTTAGGCAGGGGGCAATCTTACATCAGGTCTGGCTGAGTCAACCCCACACCCCCACCCTGCCGTGGTTACAGGTTAGAGACAGGTTGTCAAACTCTAGCCAGGCTCAGGAGGTTACACTGGGCCTCACATCCCAGCCCTAAACTGAAGTCAGGCTCAGGAGCTTGCACTGGGCCTCACATCCGAGCCTTTCTTAGGCCCAAGAGGGGCAACCCTAGGCCTGGCTGTGGGCTTGGGTGGTAGCCAAGCTGGCCAGTCTGGGCCACTGGGATGCCCTCCTCAGGTGAGGGGACAGAGCCAGCTTCTCTCCTATGCCCATGCCATCAGGGTCAGCTCTCCCTCACCTGTGGTGAAGTGGGGCCAACCCTTCTGAGTGCAGGGGCCAACTCTCTTGCTGTAGTGTCCATTGAGAGGCAAGGCCAGCTTTAGTAGGGCCACCGAAGGGCACGGCTGGCTCAGCATGGCCCTCTGATCTTTTCATGCATGCTTCCTAAGGTCCCCTGAGGTGACGCAGGCCACAGATATCAACACAGACCCCAATTGCAGCTGGGCCCTCAGCAGCATCCCAGGCCTGGATGACACCGGGGTCCTGGATAGCAGCACAGGCCACCCAGACCAGCATGGCTCCAGTGGCTGCATAGCCCTTGGACACCTATGTGGTCACCTGGGGCTACATGACCACAGGTGGCAGCCCAGGCACTGGGCATCCTGTGGCCTCTGGTGGTAACATGCACCGTGGATGCCCACACAGATCTTGGCTCTGGTAGGACCACGGACCCAGACACGGCCCTTGGCAGCCCAGATGTCACCATGGCCCCTTTCTCCCGTTTTCCTACCACATATTTGCTCATAAACCTGGGACCAGCTTGCCCAGCCGTGCAAGGCACCAGAAAGCCTGTGGATGTCTTCCAGCCTGGGCCTTGAGGGCCCTGGCTGGCCGGTGGGTGGACAGAAGTCGCATGAGCAGAAACACATGAGGGGGCCGTATCACCAGCTGGGGCCTTCTGTATTTATTTTTTATTTGAAGATTTTTGCAGCTATGTTCATCAGTGATATTAGCCAATATTTTGACATTTTTGACTGACTTGATCTTGTGTGGGTCTTATTAGAGCAACCATCACTACTGTGAGCTCATGTGTAACAGCCATGCCATGTCCAGGTGTCCAGAGGACAGTTTTACACTACTCTGTATGCTCCAGATTCTACAGCTTTTCCTTTACTTCTTCTGCGATGTTGCCCAAGCCTTGAAAATCAACAGAGGATCGACAAAGATATTTCATCTACAGCAGACCTCCCTGGTCACTTTTTGTCAGCACTTTGAAGAATACGAATCTCTGCAGTAACTATCACACACTAGAATAAGATGGTTCTCTGCCTCAGGCTGAGAGCAGCACACGTTTGAAAACACAAACCTTTAGAAGGCAGTTTGGCAAGATGACCGTTCCAGTAGGTCTTCCCTTTGGGCCAATGAGCCCTCTAACCGTGGGTTTTTGCTTTTGTTTGATGTTTGTTTCACTGCGTCTTCAGTACCAGGTGTAAACTTCTGTGGAACAGGCTTCAAATCCAATCAGAGCTGTCGGTTACTCCCATCAGCGCCCTTGCCACTATTACAGCAGTGGGAACATCTGGTTGGTTGCTATTACCATCTGCAAGCTCTAGGTAATTTTGAAGAACACACTAGCCTAGAGAGTGAACACACCTGAGACCCAGAGAATGAACTCAGGTGACAAGAGGCATTTGGCTCTAGGTGTGAAAAGAGCACAGCATCGGGGGAGGGTTGGTGAGGGCTAAGGAACTTCTTGTATTTTCTACTCCATCAGCGATCTCTAGGTCTACATGCCTCCAAATATCCTGGGAGCCCATGCAGGTTTTGCCACAGCCCAGCAGCTGGTCCCTTTCATTTCTTCAGGTTCTACCATCACCTGTACTCCTCATTCCTCCCTACTCACCAAGGAAGGGCAGAGGCAGTACCAAGACTCCCACAAACTTCCCCCTCATTAGTAATCGCTATGAGCCCCTCAGAAATACCCTGTTCTTCCATTGCGTGTGATCTGATCCCATATCTTGAGTTGTTTTTTTGGCTTGGGACTCTGAGACACCAGACTCATGAGCGCTCTGGAGCTGACATGAGAGTAGTTAGCCACAGCGCTCCTGAGAAGAAAGATAATGAGGCAGACAGAGGACACATCCCTTCTTCCTGCTGGGCAATGTGTTTCCCCCATTCACTGGTGTTTTCATCTTTGTCCACAGGAATCCATTGGCTTCAGAGAGCTCATTCCTCAGGTGTCTTGGCCAAATACCCCTTACAGGTCTCCAGGAAACTGCCTTCCTAGCCCTGAATCTTCCAGCCTTCTTTTCATCCTCTGGTCATCTTGAAAGCTTAGTGTTTATTTTCTTTTTCCTGGAAATGGTTATTCTGCACAGAGAGAGCTTAAGTTTCACTTTTGCTTCCTGCAAATGCCTCAGTTAACCACCAACCAGCTCCTGTCTATTTACAGAGACAGCTGAGGAGCTTTCCTTCTTTGTACACTGGGACTTGTCGCTACAGACTCCACCGAGGCTCTCCTCAGCTTCTGTTCTTGGTGTTTGCCTGAGAGAGGGCACATCTGTGCATCTGTTAGTGGCTGTGCTGAGGGCTGCAGCGAGCGACAGACTCAGCCTTTTCTGCTCTTTTGGGGGAAACTTTGACTCTGATTACAGCAGAAGCTCTTTGGAGCTGGTGAGTGAGAAAAGCCCTTGTCTCCGCAGCGACCCGGGTGTCAGCTTTGTGGGCACAGGGCAGAGCTGGCTTGGCTAAGCAGCAAGTCATGTCATCATCATTTCACAGAAGGGAGTCGCATGTCTGGAGCTGCCATTTGGTGCTGGTGGTACTGAGTTGTGAGAAGTTTGGATGTGGCAAAATGTTTATGGGTAGCTCTTCTGCGAAACTATGCAGTACTCACTGTAAAATGGCTGTATGTTCTGAGTCTACCTTTCACTGCCAGGGAGTTATTGTCACAACTCCGTGAGGTTTTCATAATTAGCAAAACTCTGAGTAATGTTTCAACATTGGCACAGGAAAAAAAACCTGTTTGGGGAGATCTGACGATGTCCATCCTTGTCTATAAGAGGACAACCTTTTCCATGTTCGCACTCATAGGATATACCTGAGAGTAAAGTGTCTGGTTTCTATAATGCTCAAACTCTCTACTCATTCTAACACTCACCTTCTATCATTAGTAATCAGACATAAGATCATTCTTCTGCCTGTTCCTCCTTGCTTTCCTCCTCCCCTCCCCTCCCTCTTTCTTCTTTGTTCTGGGATTGAACCTTGGACTTCTCACATGCTAGGGTAGGGCTCCACCACTAAGCTACATTCCCAGTCCTTTTATTTTTTTATATCTTTAATTAAAAAAAACGTACTTGTGCGTTCACCCAAGTACATGCACATGTGTGTGTCTCCTCCTCCCATCTGTCTGTAGTCTTCTACATGTCTTCATCCAGTTATGCCAATGCCTTTTGTTGAAGATGCCTTCTTTTTTTCCATTGTATAACTTTAGCTTCTTTGTCAAAAATCAGGTGGTCATAGGTGTGTGGATTAATATCAGGGTCTTCGATTAGATTCCATTGGTCCACCTGTCTGTTTTTGTGCCAATACCAAGCTGTTTTTATTATTATAGCTCTATAGCAGAGCTTGAAGTCAGTGATGGTGATGCCTCTGGAAATTTCTTTATTGTACAGGATTGTTGTGGCTATTCTGTTTTTTTTGTTGTTGTTGTTGTTGTTTTTCCATATGAAGTTGAGTATTGTTCTTACAAGGTCTGTGAAGAATTATGCTGGCATTTTGATGGGTATTGCATTGAATCTGTAGATTGCTTTTGGTAAGATTGCCATTTTTACTATGTTGATCCTACCTGTCTAAGGGCATGGGAGAGCTTTCCATTTTCTGGTATTTTCTTCAAATTTTTTCTTTAAAGACTCAAAGTTCTTGTCATACAGGTATTACAATGAAGAATTTTTATATTAAAATTTTCTATAAACAAGATCCTTTCTCAATATATTTTCCTAAATTGTTTCAGCTCTAAATACTCTATAAACCCACGAATAAAATATCAACTCTAATGACCTAGAAGTCCATATACATTTTGTAGTTAGTGAGAGGCATCCTCTTGGGTTTTATAAATAATGTACAGTGTCCACACTGTTTGCCATCAATCACATGCTGTTCACAAATTGTCTGCTGAAAGTAACCCTTAGTTTCCTTGGTAGAGACACCATGCAGTTTTGAAAACATGAAACTGACAAAAGCCATTTTTTTTTGTTTGTTTTGTTTTGTTTTGTTTTTTGAGACAGGGTTTCTCCATATTGTTTTGGTGCCTGTTCTAGAACTTGCCAGGTAGACCAAGCTGGCCTTGAACTCACAGAGATCCACCTGCCTCTGCCTCCCAAGTGCTGGGATTAAAGCCCGTGTGCCACCAACGCCCGGCTACAAAAGCCAATTTCTAAAATTATTTTTTTTTTACTTTCCAATCCCAGTTCCCTCTCCCTGCTCTCCTCCAGCTCTCCAGGCTCCCTGCTCTCCTCCAGCTCTCCACGCTCCCTGCTCTCCTCCCATCTGCTCCCCTAGGAAGTCTACTAAGTTTGTCCCATCATCTCATTGAGGCACAAAACCAATATTTTTTTAAGGCAAGACTTTACTATGTTGCCCATGGAGTCAAGGCTGCCCTTGAACTCCCAGCTCTCCTTTCAACCTCCCAAGTACCTAGTGCACGTATCATGGTCCTTAGCCATGCCAATGTCTTTTTAAAAACAGCAGAGAAGGTGACTATTTCAATAACTCACTAGTGCCAGATCTCCCCTCAAACCTAAAATGGCTCCCTCTATTACGGTATCTCTCATCCTGCTCTCCTCTATTCTTCCCCCAACTCAACCTTCCTGCTCCCCCATGTCCTCCTCTCCATTCCTCTTCTCCCTCTCTCTTCCCTCTCCCTCTCACCTTCCCCCCATGCTCCCAATCACTCAGGACATACTGTCCCATTCCCCTTCCCTGAATATCTCTCTTAGGGTCCTTCCTGTTTTCCAGACTCTCTGGCAGTGGGATTGTAGGCTGGCACTCCTCTGATCTATGTCTAAAATCCACATATGAGTGAGCACATACCATGTTTCTGTTTTTGTGACTGGGTTACCTCATTCAGAATGGTTTCTTCTAGTGCTTTCCATTTGCCTACAAATTTCAAGATTCCATTGTTTTTTTCCCCCTGAGCAGTACTCCACTGTATAAATGTACCACATTTTCTCTATCCACTCTTCAGTTGAGTGGCATCTAGGTTGCTTCCAGGTTCTGGCTATTACAAATAATGCCAGCATTTGTTTTTGAAAAATCACTTTGGTGAGATATGGCTTAAGGGTAAAAATAAGCACAGTGGTATTTCAGAAAGGTATAGCTAAAATTCCTGATGCACACTTCATTAGTTATTGTTTACTGAGATGGAAATTTTGACTTCTTTAAAAAATATGGTATATCTTTTAAAATACACTTATTTAGTGATTAAATAGCCATTAATAAGTTATCAGGTTAAAAAGGAAGGAAGAAAGAAACGAAGGACGTAAGGAAGGAAGGAAGGAAGGAAGGAAGAAGGAAGGAAGAAAGGAAGGAGGAAAATAGTGCCTTCAATATACAACAGGACTGGTTTACACATGAACTCTCAGAGACTCGGGCAGCATGTCCATGGCCTGCACAGGTCCATGCCCTTTGGGCTCCCAGCACTGAGATGGGGAGGTAGACATGAGCTCCCACCCACAACCAAGAAATTCTCTGCTATTAGCAACCACTTGCAAAGGAAAAATTAATTTCTCCAAGGGACTCTCACTGGTATACATACTACTTTTAAGGGCAGGCTCCATGTCCAGCAGTAGATGGCTAAAAAAATAAACTCAAAGGTTTATTTTGGGAGAATTTTGTTGTCATATATTGCTTTATTTGGACATTTAAAAAATCTTTCTGGTCTCTTGATTGGATATGATGGTTTGCAATTTTAAGTTTTTATGGTATATGTGTGTATTTATCATTCTCTTTATTAGTTTCTTTTTCTTTTATTCTTTCTTTTTTTGGTTGGTTAGTTTGCACATTTAAAAAATCCTTGCTTGAGTTTTTTTATTTTCCTGTCTGTTTTCTTAAAGTAGAATCAAAGAAGGAATAGAGTTGGAAGAGTGGGGAGGCAAGGAAAGTCTGGGAGGAGATGAGGGACAGGAAACTGTGATCAGGACATATTATATGAAAATAGCTTTGTTTTCAATAAAAACTATTAGGTAAACATTCTGTGTACTTTTCCATAATAAACACAAAAAGGAATTTTGTATATTGGATATTTCACCTTGTACATTATTCTGTAGGTCTTTTATGGATATAAGTTTAGAAAGAAAAACTTTCTTAAAATTCTCATCAGATTTAGATGGTTCGGACTACAAGTAACAGCTCAACTCTGACATTACCTTTAAAATAGAAGTTTCTAGAAGTTTTATTTCTTGATTTAATGAGCTGGTTTACACCAGTTAACTACTCAAGATTTTTTTTAAAGTACTTTCTGTTAAAGCATGGAGTGGAAGAAATGTTTTCCATGCTCTTAGCTTGAAGACTAAGATTGTGGAGCCCTAAGGGAAATGGACAAACTTCTCAAGTGGCTCCTGGCCTCCTGCCAGCTCTCAGTCTAATGCAGCAAGGTCCACAGCTGTCATGCATCAACATTTCAAAACTGAATTTCACGGTGGAAATGTCAGCAAGTCATAGGGGCTGCCATAACTAGCAGGTTCCACTAATTTCAGGCACAGCAGAGGCGCTTATCTGGCAGACAGGCTCTGAATATGAATGAGGAACACATAGCACACCTTAGCAAAGCCCAGGGGCCAGGAAGAGCACAGCGCTAAAACCCGCTGGAGACACATCTCTTAGTTCTCTGCCATCCATACTTTCCGCCGACTCACACAGCTACAGCCTTATCATTCCTCCTAGAAGGAAACATCTTTCTCACTGTAGCAAGAAGTGATTTCACTGCACACTTTAGACTGCAATGAGACCTTCAGCTTCTCTTGCAGAGGCTGGCCTGTCTCGGTGGGATGTCTTTGGGAGGCCGCCTTCTCCTCCCCCGGTTTCCGGGTCCATTCCTTGTTCATAAAATTGTATGCAGAGTTCCTGTGTGTAAGCCAATGTTCAAACTTTGGGCTCCCTTACCTTATTTAGATTTGTGTCAGTGGTGGCCACGGAGAGGCCACTTCTCACCTGGAAGCAGTCTCAGAGAGGCAGGAGGAGGACCTGGCCTGGGATCCAGGCCTTCCTTTGTGCTGGGCAAAGGGGTGACTTGTTTGCATAGGGTAGGCCCTGATGGTGCCTTGATTTGCATGTTTTGAATCTGGCAGTAGTCTTCCTCATTTGTTCAAGAGGCTTATGAACTCACTTTGGAGCCCAGGCGGACCTTGAACTTGCTACCCTTCTGTCTCAGCCTCCTGACTACTCAGGGTTATAGGCCACAAAAAATTTAACACGCTCATTTTATTTTGTTTGAGAGTTGAAAGTATTTCTTTCTTCTCTTTAACATTGTTTCTGGAGGATGTGCATGACAATTGTTCTTCATAGCTGAATCCTTTGTTCCTGTCTTAAGGACACTAAATGTGTTAGTGTTTTTTGAGGTGTCATGTATGGTAATTACTGCGATTTGATCACTGGCCATTGCATACTTGTGAGGCAATATCACTTGTGCTTACTCCACGAATACGGGCCATTTTTATGGGATGATTGAAACAACAGAAATATATTCTCTTCTAGTTTTGGAAGCCAGAAATCCAAAATTAGTTCAAAATTAAATGTGCAACTGAGCCCATCTAGATAATGCAAACTATTGACCCCATCTGAAAACTGTCAATCACAACAGTCAACTCACTTTTGCTGTGTAAATTATATATGCACAGAATCTGGGGGTTATAGTGTCATATCTTTGAGGTCATTATTCTGAAACCACAAGGATGGCCACTCTCTCCTGAATCTGAGACACAGAAGTCAACAAGACAGAAAATAGGTGTGCCTTTTTTAGGGGTGGCAACTAAACGCACCAGAAATATTGAAGAGTTACAGAGACATGAATGGGTCTGTGAGGACAGGAGTGGCACCCAGGGGCCGGTGTGTCTTGACGGGGTGGGTTTCTGTACTGCCACTCCACTCCCCTTACTTCTCTGGTCTTTCACAGATCTGCCACAGTGACAGCCATGGACCAGTTCATCTCAGCCTTCCTGAAGGATCCATCAGGAAAGAATCTTCAAAAATTGGCTGTGGAATTCCTGCCTCACTACTCTACATTAATCAGTAAGGCAGGAGGCATACTCTCTCCAGAAACTCTCAGCTGTATTCAAAAAGCCCTCCAGGAAGGAAAACTGAGTGATATGGTGAACCAGATTAAGGAAACCCTGGCTGTGGCAGAAAAAGCTTCCCTGGAGATTGCTATCATTGGGGAGTCTGGGGCTGGCAAGTCCAGCTTCATAAATGCCCTGCGAGGGCTGAGCCATGAAGCAGAGGGCTCAGCTAGTGTCGGGGTTGTGGAGACCACTGTGCATAGAACCCCCTATCAACATCCCAAATACCCCCAGGTGATCTTCTGGGACCTGCCTGGGACCGGAACTCCCAATTTCCGCCCAGACATTTATCTAGAAAAAGTGGGATTTGCTAGCTATGACTTCTTTATCATCATTTCTTCCTCTCGGTTCAGCCTCAATGATGCTGTCCTGGCCCAGAAAATCAAAGATGTGGGAAAGAAATTCTATTTTGTTAGAACCAAGGTGGACAGTGACTTATATAACGAAGAGAAAACTAAACCCATGACCTTCCAAAAGAAAAGGGTCCTTCAGGAGATCCGAGACTACTGTCTGGCTAATCTCAGCCACATTGGAGTGTCTGAACTACGCGTCTTCTTGATCTCCAACTTCGATCTGGCTGACTTTGATTTCCCAAAGCTGGAGGAAACTTTGCTGATGGAGCTCCCTGAGCACAAGCGCCATAGGTTTGCGATGCTCTTGCCCAATATTTCTGATGCTTCCATCGAGATAAAGAAGTGCTTTCTTAAGGAGAAGATCTGGCTGGAGGCCTTGAAGTCAGCAGCTATGTCTTTCATCCCCTTCATGCCCTTCCTGATCGGCTTCGATTTGCCTCAACAAGAACAGTGCTTGAAGGAATACCGAAACTATTTTGGCTTGGATGACAAATCGATTGAGGAGATTGCTGAAAAGTTGGGCAAATCCATGGAAGACATTAGGGGCTGCCTCAAGTGCTTGGATTTCTGGTCCCTTGTAAAGGATGACAGCATACCAGCAAAAGTCATAAAGGGTACTGAATCTTTTTGTGCGGTGAAGGGAGGTCCTGTGTCTTCTATCATCCAGGGTCTGAAAGTCTACATTTTACGCTTAAAATTCCTTGACACGGTGGCTGATGATGCGAAGCATCTCATGAGGATGATATAAGTAGTAAACACTGCCTAGCTAAACAGTAAATGAGGATGATATAAGTAGTAAACACTGCCTAGCTAAACAGTAAATGAGGATGATATAAGTAGTAAACACTGCCTAGCTAAACAGTAAATGAGGATGATATAAGTAGTAAACACTGCCTAGCTAAACAGTAAATGAATTTCAGGGCTTGTGTGTCCAAGTTGGCTTCCTCCAAACTCCCAGGCCAGCTCTTCCCTAAGGTCCACAAATGTCTGTCCCATGGAGGAGATCCATTGCTTTCCTTTAGAGACCTCTCCCATGAGTGAATTGGTTTTGGGCCATAACCGGTTTTCTGTGTTCATTGATTAATTATGCTTGATTTCCAGCAGTAACACACCACCTGCTTTCAACTAGTCTCTGTGCTAAGAGATAGCCTGTTTCTGAGCCATTTATACCAAAACCCAAACCAAACAAAATCACAAAACAAAAAGCCAATAAGAAGATGAGAACTATGCATTACCATTACCCAATTCTTTCTCAGTTATCATCTCAACACCCTCCTCACCACAATGAAGGATGGTTTATAAATATGAGAACACTGGTAAAGGCATAATAAAATGCTTGCAGTGGGAAAATGCAACGCGACCAGGAGGTAGTGACAAGACAAAGCAGTGAAGTAGGGGATGAAGGGACATGTGGCTCTGGCAGGCCTTGCCCTTCTCTCCCATTCCCTCTGCCTTGCTAAAAACTGCTAGATTACTTTCCTGATGTCAGCCACCAAAGGTCTAGTCCCTCATTTGGCCACTTCCTTTGGCTCACCTAATTAACATACCCAATTAAAATTAAACACCTCATTCTAACACAGGGGTTTCCATTTTACCTTTATAAACTGCCATTTACCTGTGTTTCCCCATCCCTGTCCTCCCTGTCCAGAGACGGCTTTTTGTCCCTCCGGGACAGTTGCCCTTCTCCTTTCCCTTGTCCCCTCCCCTTCTCCCTCATCCCGTATCTCCTTTACCACCACATCCTAGCCCATTCTAACACAGATCTCTCCTTCTCTCCTTTTTCTACCCTTCAAAATTGCACTGACAAGGTTGTTCACGGCTGTTTTTCTGCCTGAGTCAGAAAGTATCCACTTTAACTTTTCTTAATAAAGGACCTCTGTGAAAACAGGTATTTGTGTCTAAAGTGGGCTCTGGGAGGAATCTCCTGCTGTGTGTAGGGTGGGTTGGGGTGTCTCCTTCAGGAGAAGATCCAGGAAAGAACAAGACATGTGAGAGACACTGGGGAACCCAACACACTAATGTGAGAACAGGTGTGGCTGTTTGCAGTAACAGTAAAAAGCTGATGGGGAATGAGGGGTGGAATCGGGTGGAGGGTGGAGAGGGCACTGAAGTCACTTCAGAGAAGGTGTAAGCGTTTCAGGATGGGTCAGGACAGGATGGAACAGGAGTGGGTCAGGTATTCTGGCACTCGGGAGTCACAGAATACTCAGTGTTACACAGCTCAGGTGGAAAGGTATCCTGGAGCTCGGGAGCCAAGGATACTGAGTGTTACACAGCTCAGGTAGAAAGGTATCCTGGAGCTCGGGAGCCAAGGACCACCACAGGTTGCAGTAAGCTTAGCAGCTTACAGCCTTGCCTCAGAGAAAGGCTTCTCCGGTCGGTCTATCGGCTCCGCTCTGGCAGGACAGGGTCTTCCAGCTGGGGATGTTCGCCTAGTGTAGCAGTTTTGCTCGGCAGGAGGGTTCAGGGTTTGACTGGGCTGTTGAAGCCTGCTCCGAGTCAACTAGGATACCTGAGTAGGGAGGGGTGTGAGGATTGGGAAACGGCGGATAAAACAAGCAGAGTCAAGAGCACAGAATAGATTTGGGAGGACTGCCCAGTCCATGCCTTCCAGTACACTGGACAGCCTGAATTTAATTTAATTTGCAGACTGGAGGCAAAGCAGAACAAAGGGCAGCACAGTCAGTAAAACAATCCCCTGCTCTGTCCTCGAATCAGAGCAGGCAGGCTTGCTCTCTATCAGTGAGTCCTGCTAGCAGCAAGTGTTGGGGCCCGGATATGATATTTCTGTTATAGGTCTCAGCTCAATTCTAGGAGCTCAAATCTCCTATTGTCTTTTAGATGTCAGCTGGTTACCTTCGGATGGCCCGGCCACAGTGGAGAATGGTTTCCAGTTTGTGTAACAATAGACCTAGACCCCACACCCATCATGAGGGCTAGTGGGATGTGTCTGAAGACTGGTGAGACGTGCCATTACAGAGTGTCTGAGGGCTTGTGTATGTGCATTCTAGAACCATCTCTAGGGTTAAAGGAAGTGTTTCCTAGTCAGTCCTATATACATAATAATAGATGTCTTCCGCCAGTACCCCCACTTCACCCCCTTTTGGAAAGCTATTTAAGAGGATGTTTGAATAAACCGTGGTCTCCAGTATGGACTGAGAGCCCTCTGGAAATGACAAAATGTCTCTTTCTTGTTCTTAATGCCACTGGGTAGCTAAGACTTCCCTGATCTACACTCCCCCACTCAGGGTCGGACCCTGGGCTGTTTGGCTGGTTCAAAACACAGCCCCAAAGACATCAGTCACGAATAGTTGGCCCCTGCATCGTAGGACTGATACAGGCCGAACCCCGGCAAGCAAGTAGCTTCATTCCCTAGCTCTATGTGTCCTTTTGGCTGGCCTTCCCCAGCCTGCATCTTAAGATAATACATTCTTCTCCATGGGCTTAATCAGAACTTTCTCACAGCTCTCAAGGAGACTGAAAAAAAATCAAGCTTGGACTCAAATGGCTTATAAATCAGAATAGACTCCAGATGGAAACCAAGTCACTTGTGGGCTCCCACACTGGGTGTCAGAAGGGGTTTTGAAACTTAAGTTAGATGGGGCTGGTAAGATGCCTCAATGGGTAAAGAGCTTTTGCCATATAGGCCTGGAGACCTGAAATGAAATTCCTGACTTCCTTGCTACAGCAAGCTCTGAGTAAATAATCTGTGTTTGCTTTCACTTTTGATTTTCTTTATTTCTACAGGCCAAAAAGGAAGCTAGGAGCCAAATGAAGATGAATTACATAATATCAAAATGCACAGGCCACAGCTGAAGTCGGCCTGATGAAATTATACAACTTTAAATATCTGTATTAACAATACCAGATAGGGTGGACTTGGTAAAGAGCCATGATGTTTTTTTGTTGTTGCTGTTTCATTTTGTTTTTTTAAGATTTATTATTATCTTTTTTTTTTTTTTTTTTTTTTTTGGTTTTTCAAGACAGGGTTTCTCTGTTTTGCTTTGGAGCCTGTCCTGGAACCTGCTCTGTAGACCAGGCTGGCCTTGAACTCACAGAGATCCTGCCTGTATTTGCAATTATGCCTACATGACAGAAGAGGGCACCTGATTTCCTTATAGATGGTTGTGAGCCACTGTGTGGTTGCTAGGACTTGAACTCAGGACCTCTGGAATAACAGTCTGTACTCTTAACCTCTGAGTCATCTATCTCTCCGGCCCAGCCATGATGTTTTAGAAGGCCTCAAACAAACAATCTACCCCACCCCCATTAAGAAACCAAAACAGGAAAGTAAAGTCGGTTTAAGAGGAAGTGAGCAAATAAAGATCTGAACAGACAGAACTGTATACCAGGCTATGTGTAAGACAATTTCACCCCAACTACAAGCAATATTTGCTAGCAAGTTAAGTAGGTTTGGGTTAGCTGTGCTATTCCATAAATTAGACAGATGAAATTCATTTTTATATTATGTCCGACTTACTAAAGACGTACTCCGAGAAGTTGAGAAGCACTCATATTAATTAGCAATGATAGTGACACAGATACCTAAGGAAAAGGGCTTAGAGAAGGAGAGATTAATTGAGCTCATGATTTGAGAGAGGCCAGGGAAGCCTGGGCAGAGGACTTAGTCCCTGGTTGCAGAAGTGTGTGACACACTGTTAACACAGTACAAAGAGTGGGGACTGAACCAGGGTCTGCCCTACAGCCTTCAAAGGGCCACCCCTGGTGACTTTCCTACCAGGTAGGACCCACCTCTCAAAGTTCCCACAGCCTTCAGAAATAACAACAGCTGGGGAACAAGCTCAAAGCATGAGGCAGTGGGCGTGGGGGGGCATTTCCCTTTTAAGCCTTAGCAGCAATAAACAGGTCTGGGAGTTGAGCGAAGAGTGTGATCAGCACAAGGAAGGCCCTGCATCCAGACAGAAACCCCAGACTCCACTGACATTAACAAAATCAGCTAACCTGAAGCAAACACTTTTTTTTTTTTCAGCATTAGACATTGAACCTAGGGTCTCTCACACACACTGAGCAAATGCTCTACCTGGGTTCTGCCATCATCTCAATTTAATAGATGAAGGCACGGATGCATAGAGAGAGGGTCTGTGAAACCACTCAAGACCAATTGGATGACCTGGGCTTCACTCTCTTTTTACCTAAGGCTGGATCTACGTTTCAAGACTCAGCTCAAATCTCTAAGAATGTTTCTGGCCGTCTTAGTGAAAACAAAAGCTCATGTTTCAGCAATAACAGAGAAGAAAACCTAAGTATAGCATGTCTAATATCACTTCTTAAAATGACCTGGGCACGGTGGTGTATGCCTGTAAATCTAAGATTTGAATGGTTCGAAGATCAGGCAGTCAAGGTCATCCTGGTGACACAGTGACAATTGGGCATGACATGAGACAATACACACACACACAAAGGAAAGACAACCAAAACCAACCAACCAATCCAAAATTCCAAAATACAAAAATACACAACTTAAAATTAAGAAAATCAAAAGGAAAACAAATTCAAAAGATCCCTTACTGTCTGTCCTGATTGCACTCTTGGCTCTCTGCTGCCCCCATGTGGCTATTTTCTTTCATAGCAGGTAAGGCTACCGTGAGCTGCTGAATTCTTACACAATTCTTCACTGTCTCCCTTGAAATACCAGTGGCCTTGCCCTAGGTAAAGTGCCATGCACAAGTCTTCCTCATGCATGGTGCAACACCACTCTGCTTCCCACCTCAGTTAAGGACAGGCCTGTCTGGTTGCAGGTTACTCCACTGGGGTTACTCTCAAGGGCTAGCCTTCTGTCATTCATTCATTCATTCTATCATCAGAAGAATCTGCTGAATTTTCTAAAACACACTCACCTGCCACTTCCTCCTGGACATTAGCACTTGTATTGCCATGTTCCCTAACTGGTCTTAGCTTCTAAATAAAAGGGATTTAGTTATGTTGTTACCTTAATTCCAGAGCACCTCTGGAATTCCTTGCTTCTAGAGTTTTCCATCTTTGCATAGCTTATCGCCTATCCCAGGCTACTGACAGTGAATCTATCTTTGCAAAAATAAAAAAACCCAATGAAAGGTGTTCATCAGAAGCCCCGCCCCAAACACCAGCACCCAGACCTCCTTCCTTCTGTTCCCCCCATAATTCCCTCATGTTCAGTCTTACTGTCCACCTCATGTTCTCCCAGCAGGGCAAGGGGACACCAGCTTCAAGGCCTTGACTGCCCAGTTACATGCCCACTGAGGGCTTTTCCCGGACACGTCCTGCCTTGCTAACTCATCTCCCCTTCACCCGCTGAACCCTCCCCTCACCGCCTACTTAGAGCTGAATTCATCTTCCACTCTGGGTCTCTCTTCAGCCTTCTGTGACTCACAGCAAGCAGTGCATAGTATGTCTTATCTGTATGGCCTTTGCTGGTTTCTGGTCTCCTCACTTATGCTTCCTGATGCCTCTTTTGCATGCTGTAGTGATCCCAGGCTCTGAAAACAGTGACCGTATTAATGTTCTCAGCAAATAGTCTTTGGATGAGTCATAGTTGCTTTATACCAAACAATCTTGTGAAAATTTTGCCTCCTCACAAATGTCTCACCTCAGTCTGCTGGGTGTGTAGATGATGGTTTTGTTTTTCTTCCTTTGAGTGAGACCCTGTAAGGAGTCACATCACCCCCCCATGGCTCTTTGGAGAAGAATCATCCTCTGCTCCATATCAGCACTTTCATCTCTCTTAGCTTGTGTCGAGCCTTCTACCACACACAATTCTTCAACTCAAGGGCCCACAAACAGAGAGAAGGGAGGAAAGTGTTAATAGGACCGTAAAGAAACACAGGGGGAGAACCGGGTCAAAGTGGAGGGCTACAAGAAAGAATGGAAAATTACTCACTTCCCAATAC